GAGCCAGGCTGATGGAAACTCAGATATGCTTGTCAGTCAGCTCTGCCATCGGGGAGTTCTCAGCATAGGAACAATGACCCCTGCAAGCACCTCTGTCTGGGAGAAAGCCACCCCCAAATTCTTGCTCTAATGCCAGACAATCTAGTTCCTCCCCATATGTCCTTGGATTCCCTCAAGCCACTACCCCAGCGCTGGAGCTCAGTGGGAGTGAGCCCATGTAAGTTTGTGTGCCGGGCCCTAAAGAGGAACTGCCTAGGTCTCCAGCAGCCTCCGTGTCATGCAGCCACAATCCCTGCTGATTTTTACAGACTGAAGTTTCGGGGACTTCTCTTCCTGGCACTGGAAGCCTGGGCTGAGAGGTCTGGTATTGGGCTGGGACCCCTTGCTCCTCATGGGAGGCCTCAGCAACTGAGATATCCCTCCTGATTAAGAACACACCACACATGGGTGTTGGGCCAGCCATTCTAGGCCTTCCCCCATCTTACCAGTCTCCATATGCTTTCTTCTTTCTTTCCTTAGTTGTAGGATTTCCATTCAACCACATTTAAGGTGGTTTTGAATGATGGTTGTTCTGTATTTTATTCTTAATTTTGAGGTAGTTGTGGGATGTGGCGAGTATCAGCATCTATCTACGCTGCTGTCTTGGTTCTCCAAAATATATATAGTAGGTGGCAAGAACAGCACCAGGTGCCTGACCCATGGGGTCAGACTAAATCTGGGTTCAGCAATTGCAGTACTTGGGTTCTGGCTAGGAAAGAATTCAGAGTCCAGACCCAAACTGTAAGAGAACATTTATTGGATAAATTATAGAGGTAGAAAGTGTAATTCCTATAAGAAATGGGCTTAGGAAACAAGTTACAGAGGAAGGGCCCTTGGAGCTTGGGAGTGAGGAAGCTAATGGTAATGTGCCTGTGGCAGGATGGGAGAGGGATAAGGAAAAGGGAAAGGCACAAGGGACAGGTGTACTCTGGGGAGGGAGAGTGCACTCTGTCCTCCGTCCTAAGGATTTTAAGGGTGGAGATTTTAGGGGAGGTCCCAGGGGAAGATGTCAATAGAATATTCAGCAGTTTCCCAGGTGTGTCCTTATTGGGTAGTGGTCTCCACTGATTGATTGGCCATCACCAGGGCAGGCGGTTGTTATTCCATGCAGCTAGTCCTGATGTCAGCTGTGGCTAGTTTTGTTGCTTATATGGGCCTGGAGCTGAAATACAACGGAGGTTTAAATGTTATTTCTATAGAGGAAATGTCAGGAGTCCAAACAAGTGTTATGCTAGGGGAGGAAAAGTCACCCTGGGGGTGAGGTCCTACCCTACAGTTGATTGTCCATTGTTAGGCACCTGGTGCTTTCCACCCTGGTGACTTTCTGTATCTGGCCCATTGTCCTTGCTCTGCTCACATCTGTCTAAAAGCCTATAACATCTATATTTTTTTAAAAAAATCTTTGCATCTCTCTGCAATTAGCTCCTATTACTATAATACTTTCCTTACGCCCCTAAAATTTTAGCTCAGTATGTACTTTGTGTTGTTTTTCCACTGTTATGGATTATTTTCTTTAATCTTGAAAACCACACACCTCTCTCCTCTTTTATAAGTACTACTAGAGGGGAGGGGAGTCCCTCAGCCCAGCCTGCCCCCTCTCACATTCCGGGAGCCCTCAGGAGATGTCCTCTGCATCAGACAACCTGGCTGATCAGGGGAAGGCACCACCCTCATCACCCTGCTGCTGCTGCCACTGCTGGCTGCCCCAGGCCCCAAGGTGTTTTCATCAACACGGACTCTAGTTCCTTCACCACGAAAAAATGACAACTTTCTTTAGGCATTTTCAAGATGTGTCTTTCATAGAATATGACATTTCTTTCTTTCTTTCTTTTTAATCCTCACCTGAGGATATTCTTCTATTGATTTTTAGAGAGCGTGGAAGAGAGAGGGAAAGACAAACATCAATGTGAGAGGAACACCAAATTAGGGTGACATTTAAATTAGGATTGCATAAAACTAGTAAAAAACAGAAAACTCAGGTTTATGAGCTCTGCTTATGGAGAAATTATTGTTTTAAATTTATACATAATATGACTTATTTCCACAAAAAGTTAAGCACTATTTGGGTAAAGTTAACACTTTCCACATGTAAAAGACTAGGGTGGTTTTATTTCTGAGTATGGTATTGTGTCCAGCTGGAATGTATAGCTAAGCTGTTGTTTTGATTTTGAACCATTGCATTGAAATGGCATTTTCATTCTAGAGGAGACCTATTAAGGAAAGAACATTATTTTCTATCAAGTGCCTACTCTGTGCCAGCCACAGGGCTAAATGCTTTCATGGGCATTGTTTCATTTAATTCCTGTGATGACCATATTTGCCACAATTTCTTCTTTTCTTTAAACTTTATTTTGAGATAACTGTAGATTCACATGTTGTAAGATAAATTCTGTGTACCCTTGACTTGGCTTCTTCCAATGGTTATTTCTTATATAACTACTAGAGGCCCAGTGCATGAAATTCAAGCACGGGAGGGGGGTTCCCCTCAGCCCAGCCTGCACCCTTTCTAATCCGGGACCCCTCGGGGGATGTCCGACTGCCGGTTTAGATTGGGCCGAAACCGGCAGTTGGACATTCCTCTCACAATCCTGGACCACTGGCTTCTAATCACTCACCTGCCTGCCTGCCTGGTTACCCCTAACTGCCCCCCCCCCGTGCTGGCCAGGTCGCCCCAATTGCCCCCTCCCTGCTGGCCTGGTCGCTCCTAACTGCCCCCCTGCCAGCCTGGTAACCCCCAACTGCACCCCCCTGCCAGCCTGGTCACCCCTAACTGCCCTCTCCTTGCCGGCCTGGTCACCCCACACAGCCTGCTTGTTCAGTTGTTTGGTCGTCCCTCACTAACCCCCCTGCTGGCATGGTCATAGGCAGCCATCTTGTGAGGGCTTGAGGGTTAATTTGCATATTACCTCTTTATTATATAGGATAGTAGAGATTCACAACTGGGAAATTGTCATTGATACAATCATTGACTTTTTTCAGATTTCACCAGTATTATATGTACTTTGTGTGTGTGTGTGTGTGTGTGTGTGTGTGTGTGTGTGTATTTTGTTCTGTGCAATTTTTCCATAAGTGTAGGCTACCTTTTGTTATTCAAATTATAAGGTAAATAAACAAGGCTCAGATAAGTTATTTGGAATGCCCAAACTGTAGACCTGGGGTTTGAATTTAGGTCTATTTGATTCAAACTCTTCCATTTTCAGTAATAGTAATGATGAATATAATCAATTATAACAATATAATAAATTATAATCGATTATAACATCAGTAGTAATGATGAATAACAATATAATCAATTATAACATGGCTGAACCTCACTGAGTTACATATGAAACAGATTGAATACTTACTATGTGTCAGAGACTGTTCTAATGTATTAACTCACTTAATCCCCCCAACAGCTATACCTCAGAAGTTATATCACAGTTGAATTAATACCATTAGTTAAACTAATCATATTACCAAGGAGTAGGTAATTTTTTTTACTATTTCTGAAATCAGTAATAAAATAGTGATATTCTACCTTCTTTTTACATAATTCATATTTTGCACTTCTGACTATAATCACTGATTTGGGCAGTGGTGATTGTGTGTGTGTGTGTGTGTGTGTGTGTACATGAAGTGAGACCTGTTTACATTGAGTTGTTTAGAGATACCTTAAAAATATTTACTACATTGCAAATAAAGGCTATTTTAGGCAGGATGCCAGGGTTTTAAGGGAATAAATATAAACCTCTAAGTATACTTAAGGACATAATCTTTTTCTAGAGATTTTAGTTCTTTTTGGCCAAATACAGCCCCAGGAATGTTTGAATTTAATCAAATCATTCAAATTACATATCTATCTTTCAAAGTGGACACTACTACATTTGGTTGTGAATTAGTACTGATTATCAGAATACTTAGTGCTTTAGGAAGATAATAGATAAAACGATCAATTGTCCATAATTTACTCTACAATCTTTGCTGTTAAATATTGTGTAAAGTTGTCCCTGTGATGAACAGCAGCACTTATTCAGACCAGAAATAACAACAGTCCCGTGTGTTGTAGATCCCAGGAGGTCTTGGTGTTTTTGTAGACAGCAGACAGAAATAAAAGGAATTTTGTCCTTTTTACCTCATGTAATCCCACTGGGAAATGAAACATGTGCTGTGAGTTGATATTGACTTCTGCCAGGTCACCTCCCTGAAGAGTCTTGGGCAAGCACCATTGCAATATTTCTTGGACAGGAGTCTGACAGCCCCCGAACGAGATGGATGGGCTATGCAGTGTGCTACTGTGGAACACTGCGCTACTGTGCTCCAAGGAAGCTTCCATTGGGGAGCGCCTGTAACTGCATCTTTCAGAGCTATCAGAGCCCCCAAATTAGAGTCAAACGTAAACTTAAGTTCTACATAGTTGTGTGTGTTTTTTTGAAAAGTGGGTGACTGCAGTAATGTAGCACAAAGTATGGTTTATTCTGCCTTTTTACACCTTATTTTGGACATTAGATAATGCAAAGTTTTTGAAGCTATATAAGGAACGATTTGGAAACCACAAAACCTTTTTAGTGGACCTCTGTATCAATTTCTGTTCTTCTAAGGAAGTTTTTCCTATTCGTGACTCACTTCATTCTTTGGCTAACATTGAGGGAATGTAATAACAATTAAGGAAAGGAATGTATGCCTTTTCTTCTTTCACTGAAAGCTTGTACACATTTTCTTTCTCAGGTTATGTAGTAAACTTGGAGGACTGTAGAATGTTGACAACTGTGAAAGTTAAAAACTAGCATATTAATACATACTTGTTTGGAATTGAAAAATAAAAAGGCTTCCTTTGCTTCTTTGGAGAAGTGTTTTGCTGGATGGTCCAGAATATAAATCCAGCAAAAAAGACATGTTCCAGCCGTCACTTACACACACCTTAAGTGAAATTAATGAGATCACTCTAAGATTACGCTTTGTGTTTTATTTTCATTTTATAGGTCTGTATGAGCTGTTGGCTGCCCTGCCAGCCCAGCTGCAGCCACATGTGGATAGCCAGGAAGACCTAACCTTCCTCTGGGATATGTTTGGTGAAAAAAGCCTGCATTCACTGGTAAAGGTAAACCATGCTGATGTCAGATTCTCTTTGTGGAAAAACATATGGAAAAATATTTTGAGCGCCATCTAGTAAACCAGAGATTAAATTGTTGCTTTCTGAAAACAAAACAGCCTTGTTCCATTTCATTGATGGGTGTGGAAGTTGTTAAAGATTCTACCAAAAATACATAGATGATTTCACTTAATGGTGGTGATTTTGCTGTGCATACTAATGCAGCAAATATGTGGTTGCCCTTGTTTAGAAAACGAATATGAAATAGTAGCAGGAAGGTTTAGACTCTTTATGGTCAGCATTCATGAGCTGGAATTTAACTTAAATAAATAAATGTTCATAGCAAAAATTAGAAGGAATATATTTTCTGAGGTTAAGGATGGCAGCAGTTCAGTAGCCACATTAATTTAAAATAATTTCCTTTAACAAAGTCAACTGAAATTCTAGCAAGCTATTTCTTTTCTTGGCATGATGCCATTGAAGTGGTATTTTGTGTATAAATACACTGAAGCTAAATACGAATAAAAACAGTGTTTTGAGACAGTTTTAGTAAAGCATCATGTCATGAAAATGATCAGTCACCAGAATTCAGATCTTGCCACACAGCAATACTGGGAGTGATCAGAATTCTTAAAATAGTAAAATGAGAACAAGAAACTTACTGGAAAATATGCCACTCTTGCCTCTGGAAATATGAATCGAGTTTCTCTCATTTAACTCAAATTGAAAGAAATTTAGAGTCTGTGGGAGCTAGGAACTCATGATGCCTCAACAATATCCAGACCTGTACTTACTTACACTAAGTCTGTATGGTTGTCTGTTCTGATAAAATGCTTTTAATTGATGTAGAATATTTGAAAGTGAGCAACTTCTGAGTTGCAATTGCTTCAAAGGACAGGAAAATTATTACTTTTTTTTCCTGTTAAATTTGCTGAAATTTGTATGCCTCAAGCTGTGGCAGTTCTCAAGAAGTGAAAGTGTTGATATGTGGCATTTTTAGCATGACATGTAAAAACTAGAATGTCTTATTTGCTTATTTAGTTGTTATATAATTGCTAAGGTATTGTTATATTCTGAATAATTTTAGGTAGTTTAGTTGGTCTCTTGAGATGTATTAGATATAGTGTTGGGATTATAGTGGATGAAGTTTATGACTTACTGAGGCAACCATGGAAATATTCCTGTGTTGAATGTGTGGAAGTTGGGTAGGCATGGATTTGTTTCAATTCATTTTGACAGAGGGATAAAATATATTTCAAATGGCATCATCACCCCTTAATCATTAAATACACATGCCCCAAACAATGGATGCATGTGTGCTTGTATAATTATAACATGGATACTACCTCAGTTTCCTTACCCATGAAATGGAAATTATAATATCTGTTGACAAGGTTGTTTGGGAGTTTCAAATAAAACAGTGAAAATTTTGGTTCTTTGATTGTTATAGGGGTTCAGCAAATGGAAGTAGGCATTATTAAGGAAAAATAAAAATTTAAGTATCTTAGCATGCGAAAGACCAAAATGAATGACAGAGATGCCACTCTTGCCTTTGGAAATATGAATCACAGTTCTCTCCTTTAACTCAAACGGAAAGAAATTTAGAGTCTTTTTTTAAAATTTAATTTTGTTTCATTTCTTAAAGTATTACAAAGAGTATTACATATGTCTCCTTTCCCCCCTCCCCCTTGACATTCCCCCGGCCTCTCCTACCCCCCAGTGTCTTGTGTCCATTGGTTATTCTTATATGCATGCATACAAGTCCTTCGGTTGATCTCTTACCCGCCCCCCCAACCCTCCCCAGGCTTCCCACTGTAGTTTGACAGTCTGTTCAATGCTGCTCTGCCTCTGTATCTATTTTTGTTCATCAGTTTATAATGGTCTTTATTATCCATAAATGAGTGAGATCATGTGGTATTCTTCTCGGCTTCCCAGGGGCCGGTGCAGCCACGTAGGGGCCGTCTCAGCCTCACAGGGGCCGTCTCAGCCTCATAGGGGCCGTCTCAGCCTTGCAGGGGCCGTCTCAGCCTCACAGGGGCCGTCTCAGCCTCATAGGGGCCGTCTCAGCCTTGCAGGGGCCGTCTCAGCCTCACAGGGGCCGTCTCAGCCTCATAGGGGCCGTCTCAGCCTTGCAGGGGCCGTCTCAGCCTCACAGGGGCCGTCTCAGCCTCATAGGGGCCGTCTCAGCCTTGCAGGGGCCGTCTCAGCCTCACAGGGGCCGTCTCAGCCTCATAGGGGCCGTCTCAGCCTTGCAGGGGCCGTCTCAGCCTCACAGGGGCCGTCTCAGCCTCATAGGGGCCGTCTCAGCCTTGCAGGGGCCGTCGCAGCCTTGCAGGGGGCGCCGCATCCCACGTTGGGGGTGAAGGTGCGAGTCAGAAGCTCCTCTCGCTGTCTCTCCTGCT